ATAAGATGCTTTTGGTAAAGATAAAGATTTTTAAATTAATTTCAAAATGTATACAGGTATTGCTAGAAAATTTTAAATGGGGTCAAGAAGCAATGTATGTCACAGTTCTTATGTGTTAAACTTTTCCAACAGCAGTAGAAGTGGTAGTTCATGTGCAAGTTCAGTCTTTAGTTTGAATTCAGTGTGACATACAGAATGGAACTTGGTACAGGATCAGCTGAGCCGTGTAGTCCTCTCTTTAGACTTCTAGAACAAAATCAGTTATGTTTACTTTTGAAATGTTTGTCTTTCCTATTAGATCACTCGAGTGGATGGAAAGAAGTTGCTACCGTACAGGGAGCAGCTTGGGAAGATACTGCAGCGAACCCTACATTTAACCTGTAAGCAGGGTTACATTCTGTCTTGTAACCTACTGCACCATCTTCTTCGTTCTGCTACACTTATCTACCCCACAGAGTACTGCAGTGTGCCAGGTGGCTTTGACAAGCCTCTTTCTGAATACTTTCCTATCAAGGCAAGGATTTTCATTTATTTAGGATTAGAGGATTTGACTTTCTTTTTAAAAACAATCATACATTATATTATTTGTTTTTATTAGGAGATTTTTTGAACATAGATAGCAGCAATGGAAAGTGTAATTGAAAGATGCTTTGGGCTTTGAAACATGTAACAAATTACAAGTTACTTAAAATTATACTGATGGCAAAAAATGAATACTGACTGTTGTTTTGAGTAGTTTTATAGCATGACATTAATGTTTTATGACATGTGTTTTACAATAATTGTGTGACTACAATAAGATAATACAAAGCAAGAGTGCCTGCTCATGTTTCTTAATCTTGTAATATATGATGCATTTAATTGAGACCCAGCTATCACAAAGTGCAGTGGTATAAGCAGTGAAGTTTGGAGGTTAGCAGGAGAATTTTGCTGTTCACTTTAAATATCCAGTCATAGGAAGCATTGTTGCACTGGGACAAACTTAGTCTTTCATCTGCTTTTGTGGATGAGAGCTGCAGCCTTTCATTGTTCTTCTTTGGGTAAATGTGGTTATCAGATATAACAAGTAATGGTGAGTACATGGAAAAATGAATAATAGGTGCAAATGCAAGAAAGAGGAGATAATGATACTTTACAGGTAGGCAGAGTAACGAACAATGATTCGATACTGAGCTTGAGATAAAATGGCAGTAGAAGTGGCAATATTAAAAATCACTGAAACTGTCAAAATTAATATGCTAGTCTGCTGTTAAGACTTTGTCAGTTTATCAGTATTACAGGTGAACAGTGCAGCAGTTTTTGGCTGGCCTATTTGAATATAAAACTATTTTGCTGAAAGGAGTTCTGAGTTGTACTTAAGAATATTTCTGAATTCATATCCAGCCAAAGAAGTAATAAAGTTGTATTTCAATTAGACCAGTACAGGGCTTTTCCTTTTAGTCCAGTCTGGTATGTGTTTTTTCAGGTACATGTAGACATTACAGCAGGTTTGGGATTTCTATTTGGTTTTACTGTGTTCTTGTTTTTTTTTCCTGGAATTGTCAGGATGACTTGCTTTACAGCAGTGGGTAGTTAATGTGTTTGGGTTTTTTTAGTAATATTAAATGCTAATTTTTAAAAAAGACAATTTGCTTCATAGTTTGATTAATAAGAAATATCTTTGTTTACTATAGGACTGGGGTAAACCAGGTGACCTGTGGAACTTGGACATCCAGTGGCATGTTCCTTCATCTGAGGAAATAGACTTCGCTTTTTATTTGCTGGATACTTTTCTTCAGCCTGAGCTCACCAGACTAGAGCTCTATGCGGTTGGAAAACTAGAAATGTCCAGGTTAGTGGTGATACGTAATATGGACAAGCTGCATTTATGCATTCATGTCTGTTTTAAGTAGTTGTTGCCAATCATACTAGCACTACAAAAATTAAGGAGTAAAATACTATAATGTTACACTGTCTTCCGTATTATTCTGAGATTTTTAACGCTTAAGAGTAGTTTGGAAGTGCATTTCATAAAATGGATAACGTTATTTTGAACAGAAACGCTCTTATAAAAAAAAAAAGAAATCTTAAGACACTTTATGTTGGTATAAAGACGTTACTGTTTCAGAATTTTTTTTAATATGTACAACAAATTATGTTTCCATTTAACTGTAGTCGGTAATAAAAAAGTTTTTCCTCAAGACTCTTGTTATTTTGGCACAACCGTTTGTGTTCCTAAGTGATGAGGTGGAACACAGAACTGATTTGCCTTGGCACTCTGCTTCTCTCCGCTTCCTTCCTGTGACTAAATGGATTCTGTACATAGTGTGTTCCTGCAAAAAGTGGCAGTGTTGAAACTGAGGAGGTAATGCAGAGTCAGTGGCATAACAAATAGGAATGGAGGCAAGAATATTGTTGCTCAATCTTGTTAAACTTGTTAGTGTGAACCTGTGCCTTCATAAGGATAGTTTCCTAAGCACAAGAGAATCGTAAGTTTAGTATGTGCTAAAGCATTTACAAGTATCAAATAGCTAAAGCTGTTTACAAGCATTGAATCTCGTACATTCTTTATTTCTCATGTTAAACCTTCACGTCCTTGAAGCTATATATACTTCAGTTGATGTTTGCAGCATGTGATGTTATACCTCGTGCTGTAAAGTGCAGTCCTATGGGGCATGGTGTATCAGGCTCCTGAATATTTTTCTGTCTGACCCAAGTTCCCCCTTTTTTTTTTTTTAGCTGAAAAAGAAAATTTGTCAGTTGCTTGACAAATCAATGCCACCAAACTGCAATCGGAAAGTGTGCTTAGAGTAAAAGCAAACAGGATAGGCTTCCTATTTAAGTCTTTGGTTGGTTTTGTGTTATTTTGTTTTTTTTTTTTTCTCTTTGACACCTTCTATGTAAAGCTGTTCATTATAACAGAATTGGACTTTGATTTGGTCAAGGCTTCACTATGCTATAATAGTAATAAATGGTGGTGTTTTGGGAGAACCCAGCCAAGTGCGTGAATTGCAAATTAAATTGGAAGGCAAGATAGCAAAGCTGCATGAGTAGAGAATACCATTAGTTGCTGAGGGAGTAACAAGTGTGAATAAATGGGATACTAGATGAGCCTGCTATTGCTTTGAAATGCAAAATTCCTGGAGCTTGAATTCTTGATAACTTTTTTTTTCCTCAATATTCCACTAAGTAATAATTGGAATCAAACATTTTTGATATATTTAGGGGCTTCAGAGTAAGATTTTCTGTTACAATATATAAATTAAAAATTCTCACAGACTTTGTTGAACACACGAATTTAGAGAGTTGATAAGTAGTGCATGAGTACTAAGAGCTATTCAGTTAAGGAACCTCTAAGAGGGTTGAAAGGAGTTATTTTACAGATCAGAACTGCTTACCATAAAGATGAAAACAAAGAGCAAAATCTGTAATTATATACTAAAGGCTACTACTTTAGATAAGATAGCTTTTAAAATAATTTCTTACTTCTCTTAACACAGAAAAAAGTTGTGAACTTTGTTGCATTATAATTTATCTTCAGACTGTAAAATATTCACTCGTAAAGTATTCCCTCATCGTACTCATGGTGGGAAGGACTTTTCTTGGCCTTGGCGTGAGGAGTTATTTCATGGGTTTTAGCTGAGATTTAGACAAAATTCTTCAAAACAATTTTTTGGGTAAAACTGTCTGGTTTGAGTTTAGTTTATCTTATTAAATGGAAGTTATCTTAACAGTTTGAGAATATAAACTCTCCAAAACAAGTTTTTCAGAAAACAAAGTTGAATGTTGGAATTTTGCAATAGAATCAGGTTGGATTAAAAAAGTGCAGCTTCATTTCTGCAGTGCTCCCTCTTGTGTTTAGAACTGATCTAGCTAAAGAATAAAGCTTTTATAAAACTTCACAGAAAAAGATACAGTTGTATATTTTCAAGCATTTAACAGATAAATAATGAGGTTTTCTTCTTTGTTTAAGAGATGATGTGCAGCAGTGTCTTGCTATAGTGCATAACTGCTTGATTGGTTCTGGGAACGTTCTACCTCCTCTAAAAGGAGAAAGGGTGGCTCATCTGTAAGTAAAATTTATTTTTATATCACAAATGTTCTTAGCAGTTATATTACTTCCTACTGGGTTTTAGTGCTTTCTTATTGCTGTTATCATGGCACTGCTTCTAGTGGCTATTTTTAAGGAACTCTCATACTAGGATAAAGATACAGAAATTTCAAATAGTGACTTGCAGAAACACTTGGGTACTTAAAACATGAAAG